CTAATGTTTTTAATTCCTTTGTGAACCAGGGAGGAAACTTTGAAGGAGTAAAACGAATTTCGGGAACGAAGTTGAGTATAGAGTGGTGTAAGGCATCATACAGGCAATAAGCTGCAGAATTTGCATCAAGGTTGAGTAAAGTTGAGGACCAATTGAAAGAATTTAGGAAAGAAATTATTTTTGGATAGTCAGACTTGCGAAAGTCAAAAAATGTATGGGAGTTATTTACAAAGGGTATATGAGGGATGTTTAAAAGTGAAATCTCTAAAGCTGGGTGAAAGGAATCACAGGGAACGAGATGGTTGAGACTCTTTTCAACAGAGATATTTGCAATATTTGAAAATATTAGGTCAAGTGTGGATTGAGAAGAGTGGAGGACAGAGTTATGCTGGAAAAAGTTTAAGGAAGCGAAGGTTTCGGGAACACAGGAGCCAGAAGAACCAGAGGTTGAAGAAAAAGTTAGTCCATCAGAGTCGTTTGACCAAGATAATCCAGGTAGATTATAGTCGCCACAGAATAAATATGTATTGGTAGGGTTCGCATTGATTAAGGATTCAACCGTTTCCATGTGAGATTCATATAGGAGAGAGGGACTAGAAGGAGGAATATATACACTGGAGACAACATAATTAGTGTTCTTGTAGTGGAACCCTATAAATAGGTGTTCTACTGAATTATTAGAGACAGTTATTGGGTAAGATATGATATCTTTCCGAATAGCAATGAGAACCCCACCGCCCCTTTTTAAGTTACTCGTAAGGTTACTTCTATCACATCTATATACAAAATAATTAGATAATCCTAATTCACTAGATGATATATTACAATGTAACCATGTTTCGGTTAAAGAAATAAATATAAAATTAAAGCTAGATACATTACAAATAACATTGCGTAGTTTAGTTCTTAATCCTCTGCAATTCTGGTAGAAACCAAAAGATTCAGTGAGGGCGTTGACAGAGGATGTGTTTAAGCGGCTAGTTGACTGGTGTGAGAGAGACGCCCTCTGGTGTGGTTTTAGTCGTAAAACATTTGGTTTGTCAGAAAAACCCATATACTTGTAAATTAGCATATTATTTTTATTTTTTTTTAAGTTTGTGCCATTTAAGGAAATAAAAAAAACATTTTCTACCCAATAAATGGATTTCCAGCCTAACCCTAAAGATATAATTGTGATACAGGTGGTACTTTAAATACATACAATGTAAAATGAAAATCAAACCGATGTGGATTAGAAAACATTTTGAACAATTTTATTTAAAGGCACGAAGTTCTAATATTTATGGTTTTGTTTACCTATATATTATTTAAATGAAAAATATAGATTTTAACTATTTTTTTTGTAATTTGTTATTCTTAGGGGGGTTATAACTTTTTCTTATTATGGTTATATTATTATTTGAAAAGCGTATTTCAAAAAGTTTATGGCCAACATATGAAAAAAATTAATAAAACATAAATTAAATAAATATTATAATTCATCAATTATATTATATAAATAATAAATATGCAAAAAAATGAATAATATCAAGAATAAATAAAATATTAAGAACCTTTCAAATTTATTATCTTGTTTAGAACTTACGGACTAAATTTCTCCAGCCCTCCTCTCACTATTTCAACAATGTGCATCAAAACATAACTGAAAGTTTGTAAGCAGTTTGTAAAGGGTTTTAAAAATAACATTTTCGTTCAGAAAACAAAAAAAAATATTAAAAAATAAAAAAATAATCTAATGTTAATAAAAAAATTGACTATTAATAAACATCTAAATTCGTAAAAATTTAAAATTAAAAAAAAAATCAAAACTGATCAAAAATTTAAAATTAAAAATCAAAATCGATAAAAAAAAACCATGTTGATTAAAAAAATTGAAATTGATAAAAAAGACATGTTGAACAAAAAATCAAAATTGATAAAAAAATTAAGTTAAAATATCTAAATTGATAAAAAATTTACTATGAATAAAAATCTAAATCTATATAATAAATTCATTTACATATGATTGATAGATTTTAATATATATTTTTTATTATTATTTTATCCTAGTGAGTTACTTTTTTTATATTTTACCTAGTTATTTATTTATTTATTTATTTATTTATTTATTTATTTTACATTACGGGACTAGCCCAAAGTACAGTTAATGGAATAAGATACAGACAAAACATTATAATAATATTGATATAAAACAAAGACTAAAGATTAAAGACTCGAGAGGTTCTCATTTGCTAAACGCATCATTCGGTGGATAGGGTGGTTTCGGCCATAGTTAGTGGTGTGTCGAGGAACGTAGTAGGGGGCCGTTAGCCTGGAAGACCTACTTGGAACACGAAAGTTTACCTCAGCGAGAAGCTCGGGAGCATTTATGGTACCATTCGTAAGTTTATTTAGGAAGATAATGTTGGCAAAAACTCTTCTATCGGAAAGACTACTAAGTTGTAAGTGGTGTAAGACTGGGGAATAATCGTGAGGTTCATGATGGATATTAAGACAAAAGGATGCAAAATTAAGGAATTTACGCTGAACACGCTCAAGTAGGGAAGAGTCAGAGGTTGTATAAGGATCCCAAAGAATGGAACCATATTCTATTATCGGCCTTACAAGCACACAGTATACATTTTTGAGAGAATAGGTTAGATTGAAATTAGAAGAGAAGCGTTTTATAAAACCTAATGTCTTTAAAGATTTACAGGTGACGTGCTCAATGTGGGAGTGGTAGTCTAAGTTGGAAGTTAGAAGGATACCCAAATCTTTCTTTACAGTAACTCGCGTTATGGAATGGTTGTTAAGAGAATAATCGAATAGAATAGTAGCTTGGCGTCTAGTAAAGGACATAATCTGACATTTGCTGATGTTGAGGTATAGTCCATGGTTCTCTAACCAGGTGGATAAACAATTGAATTCACTCTGAAGGCGTATGCAATCATCAATGGAGTTGACGCATGAAAATAATTTAACATCATCAGCAAAAGCCAAAAAACGGCAATGCTTAAGAGCAGAATTCAAGCCGTTAATAAAAATAGCAAATAGAATTGGAGAAAGATGACCACCTTGAGGGACCCCTGAGGTAACGTTTATCAAACTTGAGCGACAATCTAAAATTTTTACCCATTGCTTTCTCATAGTTATGTATGATTTGAACCAAGATAGTAGCGGTTCGCCGAAGCCTGCTTTGTAAAGAACGTCAATGAGAATATAATGGTCTACTTGGTCAAAAGCTTTGGAGATGTCAGTGAAAATTACATCCACTTGAGAATGGTTTTCAAGAGCCTGTAAAGTGTAGTTGTTAAATACCATACTATTGAGAGTGGAGGATCTATTAGGCCGAAAGCCATATTGCTCGTCGATAAGAATAGAGTTAACTGGAGATTGAATACTACGGACAACTAGGTATTCAAAGAGCTTTGCAAGATGACTTAGAACAGATATAGGCCTGTAATTACGGATGTCATCACGATCTCCGGTTTTGTGGATAGGAGTGACAGAAGATAATTTCCAAATGTCAGGGAAGATACCGTCATCAAGTGAACGCCTAAATATTATCCATAGGGGGACTGAAATTACAGATTTGATATTAGCTAAGAAAGAACCAGGAATACCATCCGGACCAGCACTTGTAGTGTTTGATAGGGTTTTTAATTTAGTTTCTATATCGGAAACTGAAAAGTGACAGTTACTAGGCAATTGGTGAAAAAGAAATGGGGTACTAGGTAAGGCAGAGCTACTAGATGGTTTGTAAACGGAAGCGAAGTGAATGGAGAACATGTTAGCTATTTGTTCCTTACCTGAGTATTGTTGAGCGTCTAGATGCATGACATTAGGTAGCCCAGAGCTTGAACGACTCTTGCGTACTAATTTCCAGAAAGATTTTGGGTTGCTATTAATTTGGGATTCAATATGAGTTAGGTAATTATTGTGACATTTTCTGGACAAGTATTTAAACTGTGCACGTAATTTAGAGAATGCAGAATAGTCCTGCTGGTTGTGTGTAGCTTTGAAAGTGGCATGTGCTCGTTTTTTAGTGAACACTAATGTTTTTAATTCCTTTGTGAACCAGGGAGGAAACTTTGAAGGAGTAAAACGAATTTCGGGAACGAAGTTGAGTATAGAGTGGTGTAAGGCATCATACAGGCAATAAGCTGCAGAATTTGCATCAAGGTTGAGTAAAGTTGAGGACCAATTGAAAGAATTTAGGAAAGAAATTATTTTTGGATAGTCAGACTTGCGAAAGTCAAAAAATGTATGGGAGTTATTTACAAAGGGTATATGAGGGATGTTTAAAAGTGAAATCTCTAAAGCTGGGTGAAAGGAATCACAGGGAACGAGATGGTTGAGACTCTTTTCAACAGAGATATTTGCAATATTTGAAAATATTAGGTCAAGTGTGGATTGAGAAGAGTGGAGGACAGAGTTATGCTGGAAAAAGTTTAAGGAAGCGAAGGTTTCGGGAACACAGGAGCCAGAAGAACCAGAGGTTGAAGAAAAAGTTAGTCCATCAGAGTCGTTTGACCAAGATAATCCAGGTAGATTATAGTCGCCACAGAATAAATATGTATTGGTAGGGTTCGCATTGATTAAGGATTCAACCGTTTCCATGTGAGATTCATATAGGAGAGAGGGACTAGAAGGAGGAATATATACACTGGAGACAACATAATTAGTGTTCTTGTAGTGGAACCCTATAAATAGGTGTTCTACTGAATTATTAGAGACAGTTATTGGGTAAGATATGATATCTTTCCGAATAGCAATGAGAACCCCACCGCCCCTTTTTAAGTTACTCGTAAGGTTACTTCTATCACATCTATATACAAAATAATTAGATAATCCTAATTCACTAGATGATATATTACAATGTAACCATGTTTCGGTTAAAGAAATAAATATAAAATTAAAGCTAGATACATTACAAATAACATTGCGTAGTTTAGTTCTTAATCCTCTGCAATTCTGGTAGAAACCAAAAGATTCAGTGAGGGCGTTGACAGAGGATGTGTTTAAGCGGCTAGTTGACTGGTGTGAGAGAGACGCCCTCTGGTGTGGTTTTTTGAGATGGAAGAGATGATTTGTGGGATTCTGTTGATGTAGTTTATGGATAAGTTAATTTCCCCATTTTGTTTGCGATGATCTAGCTCTTCGTGAAGTTGACGTAGTAACTTACGTTCGAGTTTAGATTTATCTCGAACAAATTTGATGCCGGGGGGAAGATTAACATGACTCTTTCTAGCTTCACTAAGCGAAGACAGAAGGCATGCTGCTTCAGCCTTAGAATTAAGGATGATTTTTAGAGGACGAGGGGTGTTGGTGACATTTTTTCCTAGCCTGAATAGTTTAGCGTCAGTAGGGAATTTGAATGACAGATTGGAGAATACATCAGAGACGGATTTCGTGTCATCAGCAATTCTTTCTTGAGGCGTGCGTGAAGTGGATTCAGTGAAACCATAGACAATTACATTAGAACTACATTTATCACGTTCAGAGAGTTCTTGGATGAGTTCAAGTAGAGGGGGTTGAGAGGAGGACGTATTTGGTGTAGATTCAAGTAGGTGTATTTTGCTTTTCAAAGCAGTTAGTTCAGCACGAAGATTGGAGTTTTCAGCTTTCAGATCGGATATTTGAGTTGAAATGTTACCAAGGTTTGACTTGAGTTCTTCGAACTGAGCAGATTGTTGAGCACTGGTTTGCTGGTTTAATTTTAGAAGTTGTTGGTGAGAAGATTCCAATTTAGCAATGGCTTTGAGAATATCATCAGATTGAGAAGACGACAATGCACTCCGGGAGAGAGGAGAGATTTCGTTTTCTGCGGCATAATGAATAGCGCCGTAAATAGAAAATAGAACTTTATGAACTTTTTGAAATATGCTTTTTAAATAATATATAATAATATATTAATATGAGTAATGGGGAAAACTTTGTGCAAAAGTAAAAATTTCTAACGTCAAAAATAAAGTCGAACTAACTTTAAAAGTTGTCTATCAATCTCTAACCAGTCATTATGAGTCGTTTGAGCGAAAAAAAAATGTTCTAACGAACTTTTGTACTGCTGCCGTGAAGTTAGCAGTGCAATAAATGAAAGTGGTCTAGCGTCTAAAATAAAGTCTTACAACTTTGAAAGTTGTCTAACAATCTCTAACAACTCACTAACAAATTTGTAAGACTGTTTTAAAAGTTGACTGTTATCATTGCACTGCTAAGTTCACAAGGGTAGTAAACTGTATTCGTCGCATTCGTACTCAATATCATTTGTCATTTTTGGATACTTCAATACTCGATAGTTGAAGAAACTAAGAAAGTACAATTATTATTATTTGTAACTTAGGTCACATGACATAATAAAAATATTATCATCACACGGCGTTTAAGACAGGCTTTTTCGATACACCGCTGACCCATTGGTCTCTTTTTCCAGAATTTCATTACTTTGATTGATCGTTAAAACTTAAAATACACCAAAGTACCATGATATAAGTGAACGAGTAAAACTTTTTGTGCAAGTTAAATAATGTAATAGTTATTCAAATTAGTAATATAATAATATGTGAGTAATAAATATAGTATTTTATAGTATGACGAATATTTTAAGTGGGTCACTGTAATCGTAATGGATGGTGTTAAATTTGAATTCAATGATATAATATCATTGTATAAGTAAAACGATTCTGAGTGAAAACGGTCAGTCAGACTATGATATTACTAAGTATATATTTTGATGATATTATTGTGAATAAAGTAATTTATATAATATAACCTATTTACGTGAAACCTTGATTTTAATTTTCAATCCTTAGATATAAAAGTATACAAAATCGTTTTTAATTTTTTAATTCGATAAATATTGTCAAAAAATTGAACATTAAATGTTTATAAAAAAAAAACTGTGTCTAAGGATTTATAATATTTTTAAGCTGCTATTGTAACCATGTATCAGGAGCCTTGTATTATATTTTCAAGCTTTTTTGCAAAACAGATAAAACATTTTGATATTCATGGAAAAAAAAAAAAAAAAAAATTTAAAATTGTCCGTAAACAGCTTAAAACGCTCGTAAAATTGTAATTTGATTTGCTTGTAGACATTTTTTTTTTTTCATAAAGGTAGATAATCTTATAAGAAATCTTTTATTACATTTTCAAATTTTTGATTTAAAAAGAACATTTTTCTGAATTTCTAACTCAAAATAATTTTCACATTTTCGTGAATTTTAAGGATTTTTACTTTTGAACCCCCCAATGTACCAACTAGATTCACTTTCCTATCAGAAAAGATACATTTGAAGTAAATCTAAGCAGGGTTACTGTCCTAAAAGGTGATGACATACACAAAAAAAATGATGTGTGTTTTTTTTTTTTATTATTTTTGTGTCTGTGTACACGATTAGTAGTCGATATAACGCTTCGATTTTCAACTTCAGTATCTTGTTCGATGGGAAAGTGAATCTAGTTGGTACTTTTGGGAGGTCAAAATTTAACTCCGAATAGTTTTCGAAAATGCCCTGAAAAACAAAATTAAAATTAAGGAATTTTTAAGCAAAATCGGTTTTTGACAAAATCGATTTTGGCTTTTGGTGTAGCTTTAAAACAAGTTACCGTAGTTACTTGAAATTATCACAAATTATATGTCTTATAGTATTCATGGATATCGACATATTTTATGAAATTCAGTAATGGAATGATAGTATCTAAAGAGACCGGCGCTACTTAATGAACCGAAAACATCATTATACACTAGGGAGGGGCAACTCATTGTTACTAGAGGGCCAATTTTTTGAGTTCAAAAATCTAGTGGGCTAGAGAACATCGAAAGCAAAAAACAAAAAAAAAATAAGCTATTATGTTAGCTATGCTCCTATAAGGCTATAAACAATATAATATTAAGTTCAATATATTAGATAAGAATTCATATCTCCGTTTTACGCGGATAAACATTACATCGATTTTAATAATTTTAAAAAAATATAATAAAATAAAATAGAGAAAAATCCTAACATTTTATATCGAATATACGAATCCATTCAGAATCTAAAAATTGTTTTTAGTGGTAAGCAAATTTTTCTAAACTGTTTTAACGAGAGATGTTCGAGCGAGATTTTGGTGGTGGGATTTTGTCCTAGATTCTATATAGGTTGAGGAGCAGGAGTTTAGTTGCATCAAATAGAAAATATTTGCAAGGGATGCAAAATTATTGGGAAAATTATTCCTAAAAAGTTTGAGTTTATGCAATGAATATAAAGTAAATAATTAATAGAAAATTTTTAACAGCAGTGCACGATTATATATTAGCCGATTTTTCACCGGGTTTGAACAAAGGATTAATTACCGTATATCTTAAAATAATCTTACCTGAACTCTTTGGCCAAGTTCTAGATCGATGTCGTCTTTGGCCCACGTTATAAAAGGTTCCGGGTCTCCTAGGGCAATGCACGAAAGTTGTAACTGTTCACCGACCAACACCGTCTTGTTCTCTGGTACCACGATTATATCTGGAGCTGTATGCACAACAATATATATATAATACGTCAAAATCATCACATTATTAAATAAAACAACTCGTTCCCAACAACATCTGTCAAACCATTAAGGCAATACACACTTATAGCCGGCTGTATTAACAATAAATATAGGTACAGCACTGTTGCAGACAATACATATACTATGTAGATTATAGAATATAATATTATGTTATATATTTTATGTCTTCTTATAATTATTTTAATTAGAATCATTACTTACTGCAATTTAAATATTTGTCGGTTATTTCCTCCAACGAAATTAGGTAAATTTCTATGTATATAGATAAAAACGGGTCGCATCTCCCGGTGATGTCTAGAGTACCCTCAGTTAAACTTTTCTTCACAGCGTTTACAAACAACAGCATATTGCAATCGCACCTCAACGGGTTATCGTTAAGCTGTCTATAGAAGAAAGCATTAATGTTTTGTTTAGACATATATATAATTCAAACAATGAAAGTATAACAATTATTATAATACTAATAATATATATATTTAGGCAGTTTATGCTGACTTACAAACGACTCAACGACGTTAATGAATCGAATATCCCAGGTGGAATACTGCTTATCATATTGTTTCCCAAGGACCTATTTATAAAATATAAAATGTAACTTTCCGTCAGCTATACAATACGATCACATGAAAAATATGTTTAATACTTACAGTTTATTCAGTTTTGTAAGTCCCTTAAACATTTCCAAATCGAGCTTATGTATTTGGTTGTCATCCAAGTATAATTCATTCAAACTCGTTAAGTTATTAAAAACCCCAATCTCGATGTTTTCGATTTTATTTCCACTCAAGCGTCTAATAATTAAATAATTTATTATATAGATAATAATATGATATAAATAAATATATAATCACAAGCTATTTGTTAATTTATATTCTTACAATAACTGAAGCTTCGAAAGGTTTGAAAATGCACCATTTTTCACTTCACTTATATTATTGTTGATCAAGTATCTGAAAATATTCATACATTCTGGATTCCATGCATTTAAAAGTGTTTATACTAGGTATATTATAACTCACAAGGTCTCTAACTCTGTAAGATGAGTAAATGATTTCGGTTCGATATCTCTGATTTTATTATAACTCAATGCCCTGGAATACAATACAATTTGTTTGTTGTCGTATATCCACTGGTATTAGGAGATGGTTTATGATTATAATTAATGAATAATGTTTATTTATACATTTAAAAGTGTAGACATTACAATATACTCACAAGAACTGTAACTTTGTCAGATGAGCTAATGATTCGATATCCCTGATTTCATTCTGGTTCAAATACCTGTAATAAAATATAATTTGTTTATTGTCGTATATCCGCTGGTATTATGAGATATTTTATGATTTTAATTAATGAATAATGTTTAATTTTACATTTAAAAGTGTAGACATTACAATATACTCACAAGGACCGTAACTCTGTAAGATAAGCTAATGATTCGATATCCCTGATTTTATTACGGTTCAAACCCCTGGAATACAATACAATTTGTTTAATTATTATCATACAAAATATATGATTATTTAATAATATTATTTACCCACGTTTTATGTAAATTATTTTACTTGTTTTTCTACTCTTTTGTGCTTAGGTACTTACGGATATCAATCATGTGTAATATACCGATATAATTATGCACGTGTTATGGCTCTGGATATCATAAAAAGTTTTAATTTTCCCTAATAATATCATGTTCATTTTGGGACTTAAAAGTTAAAAAAATAAAACGTACGCAGAATTCAGTGTTCATGCACTGGGTAGTGTGACTACTATAATTATTGACTATGAAATATATTATGTTTTGAAAACACACATTTAATTTCCAGTGAAAACAGTGATCGTCTGAATCAAGGGGTCAAATTTATGTCCATCACTTAGTACTACAACCTCAAATCTAAACCTGGGCATAAATGAGTTAAAAAGTCAAAGTTAAGTTAATATTAACTTTGTAGTTTAACTTTTTCTAATTTAATTTCAATAAACTTAATTTTTGACTTAACTTATTTTAATTGATATAGACTTAATAAATATAGAGTTACTTTTAATCAAATTCAAGTTAAGTTAACTTATAAATAATTAAATTTTAAATATAATAAAAATAAAAATTATTATTGACGATACATATTATTACATCACAATTTACTAGAATTGGAAATTAGAAACACAGTTAAACTTATTAATTGTTCCATTAACAAGAATTTTTCAATAGAAATAACTTAATTAAACATATAGCAATAGCCGTGTAGATGTATGATATATATAAAGATATATCATACCATACTGTGGCATACTAATACAAATAATAGTAATTCATAAATACTAATAACTAATAAGTAATATCATATTATATTATTATATTGATCTAGATACAAATCACCAGTGTTCGGAACGTTCACGAAAAAAATGAACTCGTTCACGTTCACGTTCAGTCCTTCAAAAAGGAACTCGTTCACGTTCACGTTCGTGTTTTTTTAAACGAACGCGTTCACGTTCACGTTCTTTTAAAAAACGAACGCGTTCGATGGGTCGCGTTCATTTAATTTTTTTTTATGAATCGTTGGCCTGCCATGAATATAAAAATTAAAATCCCATAAACATATACGACTCAAACAAAAAATAAAAATACAATTTAGAGCATATAGGGGAAAGTGGGGCAGAACGGGGGGCCATGTGGCAAAACGGGGACATTTCAATATTTATGTCTTATAAGTTATAATGATCATACTGATTTAAAATTAAATTTAAAATATTCATAGATATTAAACATATTATGGATACGGCATAACACAAAAATCTGTATGCTAACATAATTCATACTATTATTAACCGCTAGATGCCGTATCCATATGTTTAATATCTATGGGTTTATTACGAATTCGTGGAAATCATAATATTATGTATGTCTAGCCGGGGACACTGGAATTGCCCGTTTTTAATTTATATATTTTGCAATCAAACGAATATTATAGGAATTATAATGGGAAAAATGAAAATATTATTATTATAATATAATTAATTAATATATTTTATACATATAATATTTATTAAATGGTAAATAAATTGAACGTCTTAAAAATTCATCAAATTCATCAAAAATATAAACGTCGTTCACTATATATGAACGTGAACGCGTGAACGTGCGTTCATGAACGACGTTCTTTCCAAACACTGCAAATCACTAATGTACAATTCTCAAGAAAATAATATTATTAAATATTTCGACAAAAATAAGTTATTTGTTAATTAAAACCAATTAGGTTTTGGTCATATATTGGCTATTTCCTGTGTTCAATCATATTTATGATTTTTATTATTTTAAACCATATTAATGGGTATTTACTATTTATATAGATATCAAAAAAAAAAAAATAATAATAATAATAACATAACCGAGTTAAAAAAAAATGAACTGTTAACTTTAAACTTTTTAAAATTTTTTCTATCAACTTACCTTAACTCAGTTAAAAATTATCATTAACTTGCCCCAGCTTGCTCAAATCATACATCAATAATTTGTTCCGAATTATTGCTACTAAAGCTTGTTTTTTTACAAACCGGAAACAAACATATCAGTGCCTATATATGTATTTACGATATTTTTTTATAAATCGCTATAAGAAAGACTTCCCAAGAACCTTGTATTAAAAAGTAAATATCTTTGACCAATATTTTTTGGAAACCTGGGGTGCCGTTTTCGTTTAAACAAGAACGCTCCAGTTTTATATTATGAAAGTGAGGTAACAAAATATGCCTACATTTTTTTCCAATATTCCTTTTAATCAAAAATATGCTTGGCTTAGAATTTAAAAATGTGTGCATAAAATTTCAACTGTAAAACATATGTTGAATACTCAAATAGAAAAATATATTACGAATTTACTACATTGACCAAATACCTGGATATAGGTATCGGAATTTCGCTATTTAGATATTAGATCATAGTAAGTTATGTCATAGTAAGTAAGCGGGATTTATAAGTTTCCTTATTACTTATTTCAAACATTTCCGATATTTTGCTAGTTACTAACAGTTATTTTATAATTTATACTAATACTTTTATATTTTAAACACACCTTATAGTGTTTATAAACCTATCGTTACTCTTTGTCGTATATCCGCTGGTATTATGAGATATTTTATGATTTATTTCGCAGTTTTGTCGATTTTAGTATTTGATGGCTTAAATATTTCTTAGAACATGATACGCGTGTAGCTTTTATACGTCTTTAAACTGCAGGTATTTCGACTTACAGCACTTTGGTAGCCGGAGGTATGCGGACGGGTATCCGGTCCAGACCCTGGCCATGGCAGAAGACAGTCAGCTCTTCTTCGCACGAGCAATTGTCAGGGCACTCGGCGGTGACCGATGGAAACGACGACGAGGAGAACATCAACAGCAAAAGTAGCAGCACCATAGTCCTCCGTAAAACAGTTTCGGCGGCGTCCTGATGCATCGACCGAGTCATCGCTCGGACTGGTCGCAAAGCACACTACACAATCGCACTGGCCGCCGCTGCGTTACTTAATAGAAAATAATACACAATACTGAACGGGTTCGGCGCTACCGCGATCTGTGTTGTTAGCGTGTTTTTTTTTTTGTCGTTATTTAAATAGGCAACGATTACGAATAACATGCACGTTTTCCTGTTTGGATAACGTATGACATATAAACAATAAAGTAATCTATAATAAAAAAACCTAATCTATGCTACTTAATTATTAAAGCATATAATATATCTATACATAATTTATATTTTAATTAAATATTTATTTATTTATTTTTTAAATTATTGAAGGATTGTCGTGTTGTGCTACGAAATTCTTTTTTTTCTAAAGAGCTTAGCCCTTTTTTAAAGTAAACAGATAAACCGTCGTTCACTTAAGTACCCACATTTTACCTATTCTGCCTGTGGTAGATAGCGGACCCTGCGCTGTTTGTACGTAACTTTATAATTTAACTCAAAAGTATCAAAGTTATACCAATTATGTTACTAAACTCCTCCTAAACGGCTGCACTAATTGTGAATGCCGAGTCTATCGATCAATATTTATTTTCTTCCTCATCCACGAAGACGTGGCATTGTTTTATGTACGTAACTTATACGCGAGTATAGTACGCTCAATATTCACGTAATTGCGATACATATAATATCAAAACACAGAGTACAAAAAAAATTAAATTAATTGAATGAATACAATGATTTCACGGCAACCTGCAATAATAATTATTATTATAATAGCTTTAAGGGGATTCGATTTTTAAGGAGTCAGCTGAGTATAGGCAATTTATAGGCAACACTGTGATATTTCTTACCTACGATTATAGCGGCGATTATTATACTACCTGTATAAAAATATAATTAAAATATATACATAGTACATAGTACATCAATTATTATAGATACTAGATAGTATATTATTCGCTGCCTGACGTCATTTTACATTTTTATTTTTTACCCATCGAATATTGATCGCAGGCATTTTTGTAATTAAATATAAAGATAGGTAAAATAAGTGTATAATTATTGTGACTTGTAAGTTATTAATAGTACAATAATAACAATCTTGAAATGACATACTGATGAAATTTATTTAAAAATATAACTAATGTCAACTATTCTCCGGCCATTTAATACATAATGTTCAACTCTAAAAACAATTTTAAATTCAAAATACTAATTTAATAATACAAATACAGGCTAACGTTTTTATATGTATAGGTATACCAAATAATGTTTAGCTGTACAAGACGATGTCAGAGCACTATTTATTTTCTCTCTCTGACCCACGCGCAACATATCAAATTTTACGTACATTTCGCCAGCCCCCCCAAATTAAATTTTTGAAATTTTTTTTTTACCAAACATTAGTGTGCCATTAGTGTGAATTTGTGTGACTACAACCAGAATTTGTGCGATACTGGTTTAACCATAAATTAACAAAATTATATGGGGGGCTGGAGAAATGTTCCCCAGCCCCCCCTCATGGAAAAAATCACATTTTTAAAATTTTTCTTTTGCCAAACATTAGTGTGCCATTAGTGTGAATTTGTGCGACTACAACCAGAATTTGTGCGACACCCGTTGTACTCGGAAAAGTCGTTTTTCTTTTTTTGGCATTTCCCCAGCCCCCCCTCATGGAAAAATCACATTTTTAAAATTTTTCTTTTGCCAAACATTAGTGCGCCATTAGTGTGAATTTGTGCGACTACAACATTTCTCCAGCCCCCCATATAATTTTGTTAATTTATGGTTAAACCAGTATCGCACAAATTCTGGTAGTAGTCACACAAATTCACACTAATGGCACACTAATGTTTGGTAAAAAAAAAAATTCAAAAATTCAATTTGGGGGGGCTGGCGAAATGTACGTTCAAATTTTACGTTCACAATAATGATTATAAATTATAATTTAAATAATCATAATAACTTCCAAAGTTACAGTGAAATACCTCTAAAAAACATTTGAAGGCAAGATTATTATCTAGCTAGGGAATAGCATAGCTTTTTATTATATTTTGATTTTATAAAATACTCAAAACTCGCTTTAAAATTAAAATATAATAAAAAGCCTACGAGATGCCCTAGATAATAATATCTTATATTCTTATCTTTTAATTGTGTAAGAGAACATTTCAATCTAATTAAAAAAATTCTTATGATTATATATAATCATTACCTATTGTGAACGTAAATTTTGCTATGTTGCGCGTGGGTCAGAGAGAGATAAAACAAATATTGCGCATTTCATAGTATTATTAATTTACTTATTCCATTAATATTCTATCCGCGTATGTAATTACCAATAGTATTTATTCTACATGTATATTATTTATAAACGATTAACACGTAACTACCATCACCAAAATGAATAACACCGCGTATATATTATTTTCCACAAAATTACCAATACGTATATATTATTACTTACAAAATAAACAACGTGCACATATAATTATTCATAAAATACATTGCGTAAACGCGTGTTGTACGTCGTAAATGGACGAGTACCTATCTAATAACAAGTAAAATCGCCATGTTCCGCGATGTTTCATGCGTGCGCACTTGTCTGCGTTCGAATATTATTAAAAAAATCTCCGGTTAATTACTCCGTAAATCCCTCTAATAATATTCGACTTCCTATCCCTTATTATTCTTTTTACCTATTTATTTCTTTAAATGATTTAATATTCTAACTTACGCGCTTTAACCGTTTAATTTTAAACACAAAAAAAAAAAATTAACTTTTTACTAATTATTAAAAATTATTCTATTAACTTATCCGTAGTAATATTATACTAAATCTTATCCTAGGCTAGCCTTACAATTACTTTTATTCCAAATTCTTGACGTCAACTACTTTTATTCAATAACGTCATCTACTGCCTTTTAATTCAAAATCTATCAATTAATTTCTTTCAACAATTATCTATCATTCTATATTTCAATTCAAAAATTCAATATTTCACTTTAATCAATATTTCCCTATATATATTCAAAATGCTACGAGCGGCCATCAATTTCCTAGATCAGCCTATCGCAGTCTATTCATTAGATCAGTCGATCAGATGAGATTACATTAGATTAGATTTGTCTATTACAAAATACTATACAATTCTTAGATCAGTCCCTGCTGTCAATTACCATACAATCTTAGATCGGTCCTTGCCGTCTATTTACCATACAAATCCTAGATCAGTCTACAGCTGTCTATTACAAAATACGTATATTTCTTAACAAGCTTGTTTCTTTTTTTTTTTTCATTTATTTTTATTCGAATATTTTTTTTTTAAATATTTTACACCTCCACCAAGATATAAAATAAACGCTGATTTAATAGAATCAACGCGAGACGTGCACTTCTAGCTACAATTTTATTTCTATCTATCTATCTTCAACTTAATTAATTCACTCATAATAAAGATGTTGCCACTGCTGTATTCATTATTTCCGATTCCGGAGTCGCCTTGGTTGATCAGACCTCGACTGTGATTCGTTTGAACTGCCTCCGTGGAGCTGTTGACGCGTGGTGTAGTCGCTGCGTCGGAACAGAATGTATTGATTTTACAATACATTGTGTTTTTTTTATTTTTTCAATTTTTAATTTTTTGGCTTTCATCACCTTTTAGGCCAGTAAAAATGCTCGAATTTTTTTCTGATAGGAAAGTTGCTACAAAATCTGTTTTCGAAAAAATCGATTTTGGTTTTTGGTGCAACTATTCAACAAATTACCGTAGGTACATGAAATTTTGACTGAATGTTTATATAAGCATTTTCTATACACCATAACATTTTCCAAATATTTTGACTTATTTTGAATTGTTTAAGGACATTTTCAGTTTCCAATTTTTTTTAGTTTTTTTTTCTATAAAAATCAATGAAATTTTATTTGTTGTTTAAAAAAGCATGACAATTTAGTAGAAGGTTTCTAGAATATTGTTTCAAAGGAAGATGAAAAAAAATTTAAAATCCATAGTCACAATTTTTTTTTATAATCATTTAAAGTTCAAATATTGACAAAATACGTAAAAATGACAAAAATTTGAAAATTATTTTGAGTTAGAAATTCTTAAAAATTTACTTTTTAAATCTAATATAATACGAGATTCCTCTTAAGCTTGTCTACCTTTATCAAAAAAGAAAAGTCACTCTGCTGTACAGTAGGTTACAAGTGGGTAACGGTAATGAATGGTAAATATAATGTCATTGACTATTGTATAAGAAAAACGATTCTGAGCGAAAATGGTCAGTCAGTCTATTATATTACGAAGTATATTTGATGATATTAAGGTGAATAAAGTAATTTATATATAACCTATTTACGTGGAATCTTTTTTTAAATTTTCAATTCTTAGCTATAAAACTTCAACATTTTATAAATTTTTAACTACAAATTATTATTAAATTTTAAATGTGATAAATTTAGCCGAAATTTATACTTTAATTTTAATTGCTTATAAAAAAAATTCTGGTTATGTATTTTAAATATTTTTCAACTGATATTGTAACAATATAACAAGAGCTTTTCAGTAAATTTTCACGCTTTTTTACCCAACAAATAAAATGTTATTGATATTTATAGAAAAAAAAAACTAAAAAAAAAAGAAAACTGAAAATGTCTGTAAACAGCTCAAAAAGAGTCAAAATATTTTCAAAATTTTATGGTGTATAGGAAATGCTAATATAAACATTCAGTGAAATTTTCTTGTATCTACGGTCATTCTTTTTTAATTACAACAAAATAAGAAAATCGTTACATGAGAAATCGAGTGAATATCAAATGTTGTAAAAATATGAATTTTAAACGCTCATAAAAATTTAATTTGAGTTTCTTGTAGGCATTTTTTTTTTTGAACATCACATTAAACATCTGTGTACATTATAAGAATATCTGATACGATCAATTTATTATGGCAATTAATATAAATTTGATTTTATTACAGATATAGGTAATAAACCACACGTTT